TTTACTGTCGCGAAAAAATATATTCCTGTGACAGGTTACATTAACATTTGTAATGAATGTAATACCATAACAATGTTTGCCTTCAAAGACCTTGGTAATAATTAAGTATAAAATGACTAATAAAAGTAGATAATAGTTATGAAGAGTACAACTTTTCTAATCCAAGTAATGTTTATACTTTAAGGTTCTTCAAGTTTTCATCAATCGACTTCAAGAAAAGGAGATTCACAAGTTGATTGTATGTTTTTATGTCTCTTACTTCATGACTCCGTCAGTTATAGACCGATTTGGAGAGATCTTATTTTTTCTGAAATAAATTTACATATTGATCTCATAAAAAAAATATCAAAGTCGGTTCAGTAGTTTTGTAATTTAAGGTGAAATAAACACGTTTTTCATTTTAATTCTAAAGCCAGGAAAATCAACTCCGTCTCATAATAAGCCTTTTAAATTTGTAAGTCATGCTATAAATATTGTTTGTTAGGTTTTTCTTATTACAGGTGTATGTTAGTTGAGAATTTTACAATCTGTTTAATTATGTGGAACTTAATAAGTACTTCGACTCCAGTAAAGCAATAATGTTATAATTTACAAAATAATACGATTTTAGTCATGTTATATTCTTATCAGCGGTTCAAATTGTTAATTATATTAATGTAATTAACTTATAAGTCATTCATCATTGATTTCTTGATCTACTTATAATATTTTAACTTATTTATATTTATTGTTATAATGATATGCATTGTCTTAAAAAAAGCTTATCCTAACCTTAGAGATTTTATATATTGATATCGTAAAAATGAGGTAGAATGGTACTGTTTACGACATATCTTCATAAAAGGATGCAAACATATTTACAAATAAAAGCTCACTTCTTAAACGGTAAACAATATTCGTGCCGATTGTAATTAAAGATCATTTAAAATGCATAAATATTCATACCATATTAATACTATCAGAGTGGCCTGTTAACTTAATGTTGGGCTTTTTATATTATCCGTCTATGTATATAGACGGACAAAATAAAAAAAAAACTGAGTTGGATCTGAGCTTTATTAATCTTTATTAATTTATTTATTTACATAATAACGGTAATATATTTCATAATTAAATTAGTTGCCAATCGGCGTCATTGACTTTACTAAAATGAAACCAACTGTAACAACCCGTTAACGTTCCACTGCCAATTGTCTCTTCTCAAGAAGAGTATATTGGGTAATGATTACGTTAGTCAGACTCCTTGTTGTAAATTTTCCTTCTTCGGTACATTTGTACTATCTTATTCTCTCAATGCTACTGAACACATTCTCGGGATGGAAACATGGCGACACGATCTTTACGCGTACTCTTTTTACGAATTTACATTGGTACTTTGCCGTATAGAAGCATAAGCTAAATTGAAACTATAATGTAGATATTGCCATAAAAGGTCTAGTTTTTCATTACATATATTGCGAGATTAGTATAGTATTCTATCCATGATAATTTAACTAATAATGTCAAATAAGCTGATATATAACCTATGCAAAGTGGTATTAGGTCTAATTACTTACTACCACTATGTGCCTTGCTTATATCAATAAAATTAGATGGTTGTTAGACAAACATCAAAGGTTAAGTTTTATTTGTAAAGCAACTTTAAAAATAGGAATTATTTCAGATTATATTTTTGACTGTTACACGATGTATTCACTAAAATCAATTTTGATAATTGTTTTTTTATTAGAAAAGTGAATTATTTACTCCCGTATAGGTTTCCTACAAGTTTTTTTTTTTAATTAAAAGAAGTTTTGCGCATAATTTTTTAAATAAAATCAATTCCTACATTGTTTTTATTACATTGCAATATTGGCCGCTTACAACGCGTGCTCTCACCGAACGCTGTGTAACACGCAATAGTTTGTAGAAGCAATTCTTGAAAACGGTCGTTTTGCGATTAGATCAGTACAGGCATCACCGGGTGTGGGTGTGCAAGGGTGGACTGCCCATAGAGGGGGGGTGCTGTTAATTGCTCCGTTTTGTGAACACGGCCGATGGCGTGCTCGGCGGGCAATCAGCGGCCGCTGACTGATTGCTTTTTAAATAGGTTTTATGCCCGCTAAAAATGTTACGAAGGAAATCAAAGAAAGGCCCGCGAAGATTTCGTGAGGGTCGATTGTGTAAATGTGAGCGAGGACAAGTTGTTTTATAAAACGTTAGTCTGACGACCGTGACTGGCTGACATGAAATGTTACAATTTTCGTAAACATTCCGAACTTAATGGGCAGACTTCAATAAAAGCTTTGCAATTTGACATATTGTGTATATACTTAGAGTAAGAGATTTGTTTGTACAGAAATATAGATATTCGAATGAAGCAGACCATTATTTTTTATTCTTCGTACAGATTATATATACTTACTTATGTATATTGTAGACAATTTGCCTCGCTACTGTCAAACTGCACCTGAAATATAAACAGAATACATATTAATAAATATATAAATATAGAAAAATATTAAATCACTTACCTTGTTGACTATATCAGTCAAAAGTATTGTATTTCGTTTAATTATAAAGCATATCTAAATAAAATATCGTATACTTACCTACCTACTTATGCGTATAGGGAGAAAAACATCTTCGAGCCCCCTCTACTAATTTAAAAGTTGAGTGTATTGTGTTAGTTTTAAAATATACAATTTTTCGTCGTTTTTAGTCTTAATTTTCTTTCGCGAAAATGTTCAGTTTGCTAGTAAAATCTCTCCCTTGAAAATTTTTAATTTCATGCTATAGATAAAACTTTCTTTTATGTAGCTTATAATGACAAAAAACATAATGGTCCAGACCCAGATAGAATGCGGTAACCATCGACTACAGATGAATATGAATAGCACCTAGGATTATGAATGCACTGTAATTTCCATAGTATTCTTAATGAATTGACATTCCTCAGAAACACGATATTATGCCTCCTTACCTAATAATTTGACAGTCATATCCCACCTTTTATATAGAAACAGAGTTATGTAAATATAACCTCTTAGCAACAGAAACAGAATTGTGCAGACGACTATTGTAAAAAGTCCTTTCTGCGAATGAAATTTGAATACATAAAAGTTGTGTTCACTTATTAAGTATCTAACTATGTTATATACCAAAAGCCTATTGGAATAAACAGGGTAATTAGGTAATAGGTTAGAAGTGGATATGCTTTCTGTTTCCTTAACGTCTAGTTACCTACACATATTTACGATTGCATTGCATGTAAGTATCCGCTATAAATGGAGATAGCACACACAATTTAACACGAGCCTATTAGCGGAGCAGACTCGACACCTATCCTGTATAGAGTCGGTACTGTGCGTGACAAACCGGAGTTAGCTAAGTGGCTGCATGCTACCGTCGCCGGGCTGTGCGGTCGTTACTGTGCAACGGATATACTAAATGCATTTTTATTCAAAGATCTGCAATTGTTTATGTGTGAAGTTGCACTAATGACTTGCCTGCTATCGCGAGCGAACGGAGAGTTGATTTCTTATTAAAAGTGTTTATATTGAAGTCGACGAAAGTTCGAGTTATTTGCTTGTGAATTTAAATGCTTTCGAATGATTATTTAAATAAGTACCTTTCTATTGTCCTAAAATGTTATTTATAGAATAAGTAAGATGCTTAGATCATAGTTACATGATATAGACCTGGTACGTAACAACTATTTCAGAGTATTAGTATTAGACTTTCCGGATTACTCTTCTACCTACTTTTCTAAAATTCCAGAAAATGATAGATAGTTTAATAGTTGCTTGTAAAATAAATGTTAGGTACTTGTTTTATGATTTACATTTTAGTCTGCTATTTAAGCTATATATAAATAAAGCTCCTAAATTATCAATGAAAAATATGTAAAATCAGGGTCTAATGTCATTGATGTTCTCGTATACTCGTGAAGATTACCGCTCATCGCAGTTTTAACTCGATCCATCGCATGGACCACCTACAAATAAGTTCTATTCTACCGTGTAATTTTCATCCATAGGACACTATTTATTAAATAAAATCTACAAGATGGTAGAGGTATTATTCTCTATTCTTTCATTATAAAAGTTTGCAGAACTCATTGGAGAGTAAGAGCAAGTTCTCAATTAGGAAGAAACTTAACGGTTTTATTATTAAAAGATTCTTAAGTACACATTATATTTTGATGTAATAACTAATAATGTAATAATCTCCCGGGTGCATGACTATAGGAGGAGTTGTATAAGCAAAACACGTCAAAATTTGTCCACCAGGCTTACTGAACACATAAGATACGTGAAGAACATGGAACAAACATGTCGGCGGGTGCAGAGCGTTCGTGTAATCAGGACACGTCTTATTTCATAAGCTTTGACAAGGCAAAAGTATGTGCACCAAAGAAATACTGATAATTTCCTCGAAAAATAAAAGAGACCATTGAAAAAAGTCGTCGTACAAATTTTTACAGAAACCAAAAATGGATTTATCTGAGTGCCTGAGTGCCGCTTCTCCGCGTTTCATCCACGGTCAATGTTGAAGGTGTCGAGTAGAAAGGCAACACACCTCATGTATACGACGAATTATCAACACAGTCAGTGACAGTAATACGGCAGACGAAGAGGAAGACTACGGAACCCATCAGTTCATACTCGAAGATTTACGAACGCTATCTTTCTTATCTGTGACGGTGCCGCAAAAGCCTACAACTCGCGCTCAACGAGCCAAGGTGCACAGTCGGGCTCGCGCTCGCATTAAATCCGCTCAAGACTAAGGGTCCCGAATGGTCCCGAAACTACTAGAGCTTTCTCGACCAAATTATATAATAAAAAAGAGAACACGTTGTTTATATATAAAATCTATTTATTAAATAATTTTTCAACGGCTACTTTGGAAAGTGAACAGAAAGCTAGATTGGTTCTATGTGACATTTATATTTTAAGACATACTATTTTAAGGTTAAATGTTTATTATTGGATTTGATTGGGAAAAAAAACAATAACAAATTTAATTGACAACATTTTAATTAAAAAACACCACAAAATCTAATGGACATAAAATGCCACATTCCGGTTTGCTTAAGTACATTGTCGCTATGTAACTTTAGGTACTTTACATACATTTAATACTTCAAGTTCTGTATTTTATACTAGCAATAGATACCTACATATATGAATAATAATTAATATACAATTCTTTGCACAATGTGTTGTCGAATTATCGACTTAATATCCGAATTACTATATTACAAGTCTCGTAATCACTATGCGTAGCTATATTCAACAATTTCAGATCGTATATGACGCTATTGCTTCTGTTATTATTTTCAAACGATTCAATATATTTTAGGTACAGTAAAAAAATCATTAATCCTTAATAATAGACGCAACTTTGCATGTAGGCAACCAGGTTTAATATATCGTCTGATTATACAATGGCCTTGATTTATATGCCTACTACATTACTATATTTTTTCATCGCTGAATGACTCTTCTATTCCAACTGGATACACAGCTACCTACAAATAAGATAAATAAGTTTCGAGTAAAGTTTTTCAAATAAGGAACAATGACCAATTTCTTATTTATAAGTTGTTTATAATGTATGTATGAAATCTAAGTATAGGTAGGTACCCAAATACATGTTTCTCATTGACACGCCACGCTTATAAAACATTATTTAAATATTATGTTATATTGTATTTATTTCATTTTAACAAAAAAATGTTGTGAAGGGATAAATAAATATTTTTTATTTATTTTATAGCATCTCAATAATATCAGACTTCTTATATTTTCATGTATAAACTCCTTTATTGTAATATAATATTGCACTCCTAAGTACTTGGAGAATCAAGGGATAAAATTTTGTTTAAGTGGCATCTTTAATTTATTTTACTTAAGTTTTAAATACATAATATATAATTGTTGCGTATAATAATATAGTCATAGACTAAACCTAATAATGATAAAATGTTTTATGCCTATAGCTATGTACGATAGGTACCTACCCATATGTGTGTGGTGATAGCACCACAGTTAACCCGATTAATGTAAACAAAAATTTATTCTATAATACAGAAAATAGCCCGATAGGAACCGTCTTTGATCGTTAATAATTATCTAGTTTTGGATTGCATAAAATGTATTGCATTAAAAAAAGTAAGGTCTCTCTAAATTGTAAAGGGTCCAGTTGGCCAAAGATATATCTGTGTCCACAAAGAGAAAAAATCTGATTGTAAGTGTATCATAGTAAAGTAAGAACGAGATTCAAGTATATATGAAGAAATAAAATTGAGTTAAACTCGAAAAATAATTTTGAATCGATAAAAAGTAATTTTGCCGACATCAAAGTCATAGATCTTTCTTTCGATATTTCTGGTTAAATTGCTAGATTTGTCCATTTTTAATATCTGCTTCGCAAAAAATTCTCTAGATCTGATAAAAAGAATATGAGACCAACATGGGGAGTATAAATTGAAAAAAAAAAAAAAACTTAATGATCAAAATCACATTTAACAAAGATCTCATACAAAGAATATACGTACCTATACGTACAAAAAAAACAGGTTAATTGAATGACTCTATAAATTCAGTTAAAAAATATTGCACTTTTGTTTCCATTATGAAAATAATTCAAAAAACCTACATAATTTAACTATTAAGTTTTTTATATTTATTATTTTTTAAACAAGTATTCTTAAAATACTTTTCGTAACTTAGGCAATATTTTTTTTAATATAAATAAATGCTCAATACCGTTTAGGAATAAAGGAATACTGGTTAAACGCAACTCTAAAAAAATATTTCAGCTAAATTTTTTTATACCACAAATTTGACAAACAAGCAACAGTCTGACAGATGGTAAACGATGGTAAACGGCCTGCAAAACTAGTGCGAGTTGGCGACCCTTTACTCACATAATATGTATTTGCTATTTTTGGCTATTACTGATTATTTTGGAAACTTGTTTCTTTACCGCCATGAATACTCTGTGCACTGTCCATGGTTGACGTTGTATGGCGTACATAACGCCATATGCACAACTTCGTATTTGTGTACATGAAAATAGATAAATAAATAGACCCATAGTTAAAGTGAAACCTAGAAGTCTGTATCATTCAGATTAGTAGATTGATGTCAGTATAGCTGATATAAAATTAAATATGATACCAGGACCTAAAACCAAAAGTTATAACTTTATTTATATTAAGTAGAGGTAAGTTGCATCGCAAATGATTGAATCAAAATGTTAGCAAATGCACGTGGATTCCTGCACGTTATATTTATCTATTGTTTACATATTATCGCTTTATGTAATTAAAAATGAATTAGATTAAGTTTTGTATCATTATTGATAGCAACTAATAAAAAAATATATTATATTTGCAATGGACTCTAGTAGTAATTCAACCAGAAACCTGAAATACGAGTAATTCCTCACACGCGGCTCTTACATTAAAGTTAATATAAATGTGGGAATGTATTCCTTTTTACCCTATCAAACCTATTGACTTACAAAGCATGTGTATTCTATAATTATATTAGTAATTATACAACATCAATTTATACATTATATCCTTAAATTATCTGGGCTTATAATATCACATATTTCGGACGAGCTGCCCGTTACTCACAAATATGTCGATAGATGCTGTTGGTTAAAAGTCCGATTTCTAAACTAACACTGTACAGTATTGTGTTCATTAAATTAATACTGAAATTGGGTAATAGAAACCCTAACCAACCAGCGAAGGCAACCAAGAATCACCAAAACGCGATTGCTTCTTAATAATTATACTCGTATTTAAGGATAAGCGAAATTAACTGTAAATTGTGTCACTTTTGTGTCCGCACGTCTTTATGAAAGTTCACACTGGTATTTCATTGTTCATTTTGTACCGTCACAAATCACTTTGAAATTTCTTAGTGTTGTTAATATTCTATATTAAGTCTGTTCTCAAAGTTTCCACTGGAATTAAACATGTATCGGTTCATCGTCTTCTTCATCATCGGAGCGTCTTTCAACTGAAGGTTCTCTAGGAGAGCGTGGAGGAGGTGCAGGACTACCCGGGTCCAAGTCCGGGGACGGCGTTCGTCGGGCTTGAGCATAATATCCTAAAGCACCTAGTGCTGGTGCCCCCAAGGAGCCGAGATGTGCTGAAGGACCGGGTAGTCCTAGCCCGAGAGGTGGAACGCCAGCCAATGGCGCACCCGGATATAACCTGTTATATAAATAGTACAAAGAATATGTCAATAAAATATCCAGCAGACTTACGTAATTTATTATGCAGTTTTGTTGATCACTAACCAGGTAATTATTACGTTTTTAAGTATCATTGAATTCACAGTTTATTACATCAAAAAGGTTGTCAGCATTAGCTTATGTCTAAATGATATATAAGTATTAATAATAAGCTAATAAACGACAATGAATAGGTACAACAATGGATATTAGGCTGAAAATAAGAGTCAACATAAAATTTTAATATAAAAGCCAATCGTTGCTGATCTAGGTTTGATTATTGTGGACTCAGAAATAAAAATACAAAACTCACCGATATGGCAACGGTTTCTGCAATGTGTTAGCAGTGGCGGATGCAGCCGCGGCGGCTGTAGCTGCAGCTTGTCTATAGTATAAGTCAGCAGCAGCGGGCGCTGGTTGTGCCGGGTATGCTGGGACTCCAGCCCAGTACCCGCCGTATAGACGCTGGAACGCAGCGTAGTTGCCAGCCTCCGCAAGCAATTCTAAACCAACCGCTGTTTGTCGCTTCCATTTCGTTCTGTGTATAAAACAAAATAAAACTAGTTACGCATAAACCATATAATTATAATATAAATTTAAGTCAATTTTCCTAAGTACGAATGGTATGTTGATCAACTTTATATTAACAAATATTTCAACTTCATTCAACTTTAGCTAAACATTATTTTCTCAAGTACTACTAATTATAATTATTAACGATTAGGCTGTTTCCTTTGCAGCATTATCAACGTTTATCCCGTTTCCGTAAAAATATTTAAATATCTTTTCTTACAATTCATTTAAGTTATGTAAAGAAATACAGTACATAATTTCATGCCTGTAAACGTAGATATATTAATCAATCAGTTTCTTCTTTTTAAATCGGTATTTATTTATGTAATACATATCGAGATAAATTTACAATATAAGAGAGCAAGAGACCACAAAATAATAGTAAATATACAAATAATTTTATTCTTTTCATAATCAATAATATCATTAAATCAGTCTAGATTTTCTTCTTATATTTGATATATTTCGGAGCAGTATTCTCAGTCCAACTTTATTTTTAATAGTATTTTCTGTACCTAATAATATATTTATTTTATTTGTTTAATTCCAATGCACAATTATATAAGTGTACTTGTAATGGTAGACTTAACACCGAACAACGTTCTCTACCAGTCAACAATGGGGCAAACGGGAAAATAAGTAGGCGGTGCATTTATTAAAAATATATGGCTTTAAAAAATTTATAGTATCTAATGTTTGAAATATTAAATGAAATTGTTAAGCCTAATTATTTTAGGGAAATAATTTAATTAGTTACTAATAATCTATTTTTAATTTAATAATATCCGGATTAACTTACGTGTATTTTAGTCCAGAATGCTCGACTAGTTTCAGGACCATCCGGGTGTGATACGAGCGCCAGCATTCTCGACTAAGTTAATCCGAGTCATCTTAGATTAAAATGTAATGTGTACTTACGAAAGTTTTAACAATAAAATATATCATCTATTGACTATTAATTTAAATGTATTTTTTCTTTTTCTTTTAAATCGTTGATATGATTTAACACCTTATTTTCCATAGATATTTTATTTTCCAACTTAGCTGCTCTATTTACTTTTAATTGATAAAAATAATGATATACAATGTTTACGAATTAAAAATGTAAGAATTAATGTCTAATTCATAACACTTATGTTGTGTAAGTGTTCAATGCATTTTGAGTTTTATTTTTTGTACTTCTAAAATCTACGGAAATATTATATTACAAGATAAAGTGTTCATGGACCATTAAAACACAAATAACTGGGTAGCGACCGTTATGCGAATCCCACAAGAAATTACACAAAAACGATTTATGCCACATTAGAAACTTAAATCGACTCTAAAATTTTCTAAACTATCATTTACGGCCCCTCTAACCATAGATCACTAACCCTACAGTGTTTGTGACCCCAAACGTCATCAAATTTGTCACAGACCACTCGAGAGTACAATGAAGACGTCGCAATGAAATGAGTAATAAAAAAAGTATAAATGAAATAATAAATTTGACAAAACGTCTTGGGCACTAGTGTGCTCATTGGTGCGTGGTCGGGTGCTTTAATTTGATTTATTTGATTCGCTTGTAAAAGGGTGAACGCGTATAAATTACTTGATATTGCTCGGTGGATGGTAATGATTTTTTCAACATCTCTATCTGCTTATTACAAAGTTACGTTATCGAAGAAAGTTTTTAGATTACAAAGATTGACGATATCTTTCCTGCACAATTTTTCAAACATAATGTGACTTTTATCGATATCAATTCCAGAACATGTATTTGTATATAAAATATTGTATCTAATAAGTAACTATAGGAAATACAATAATCTTAATACATACCTAATATGGATCATCATAACATTTCTAAATGAATTTATTTGTAATAATTTCAATACCTTCGACTAATATTCTAAATATAAATAATCAAGCATATTCTTATGCTTTATGCTTTTGGTAGATTTTTTGTAATAACAATATTTTCATTTATACAGTGACAAAGAATCCCCCATTTGAAAAATTTAATTAAGTTCACGAATTCGCCATTACTTCTATTGCAAGTAGCTGTGTTATTGTCATGAAGTGAGCTTTTTATTAATTCGAAGGGTGCTATTAGTGCGATGCGCATTGTCATTATATTATTATTAGTACGATCCCATTGTTGGCGCGCCACCGCAGTTGGGGTTGCGGTTGTTAGCAGACGGTTCACTGACTACCTCGTTAATTAATTTCTATAAATGGATCATTTAATTTTATTAAATGTAAATGAGGGGGAGTTCAGATGTTTCGTTTCTCGTCTTCTATAATATGATAAATTTGATTTCATTTGTTACTTGTAAAAGGAAAATAACGTTTTTTATATTTACATTCATTATCATCTTTTACAGATATTTGTATTTCATTCTAAAGAGTTACTAGAATTATGTGGGTCAATTTGATGTATAACTAAAAGATACAAAGTGGTGTTTAATTCAAATACTCTTAAATTACCAGTAGCTGGTAACTGATAGACCAAAAGCATCCGCGCTCACATTAATCACATATTATGACGGTTATTCTTAACGAACGTCATTGAAGAGCTCTTATTTAATTGTCAAGTGTTGAATGAGAGGCAATCTGCTCAGTGACACTATTCTTTTTATTGCCACCGCGGCTACGAACAAAAAGCTCTTAGAGAGCACTTAAATTTGGACTGCCATCTCAAGATCTCTCTACAGATACTATGTTTCTCTCTTTCTATCTTTTGTCGAGAATTGCCGAAGCGAGTTTTTCCCGTCTCTGTCTTGCGTCCCCCGGTGGAGTCAGATACGCTCCGCCCAGTGGTTTAGTGATTTGATGCTGCGTGAACTGATTCAATTGTTGTTTGTGTAAGCCCGTCCGAAAACACACCTTAACTGTTCAAGCTAAAGACGAAAATCGTCCGATAAAACGTTACCGCTTACGACCTCTCTGAGGGGGAGGTTGTTTATCTCGATTTGGGTTTTTGGACGACGTGATGCGAATTCAGCTTGTATATCCGGCAAACAAAGAGCACTTTCATCGATCCGAACTGTTTATGCTCGAGTCGGCACTTGGGCCGTTTCGCTTCGTAAACAATCGGCCCAATTTGAGCTTTATTCGAACGTTATTTATACGCTGCTTAGAAAGTTTCAGAACATGTTTGTACGAGTGTTCTTATGGGAATTGTTTGTAGTCGGAGAGCTTTTATTGTTTGAAGGGGGTATATATAATGTGGGTATATATTAGATACATAAATATAAATGTTTACGTTACATGACAGGAAAAATATTTTACATTGTCACTAGGTATTTAAAAATATAGAATTTTAACATTTATGTATTACCGACCCACAACAATATTTGCGAACCCGCAAGCTCCAATTTGCTGTTTTTACTCCACAATATTTACCATAATATAATATCAAGCAAAATATAGTAATATCTACATGTATACTTAAACAAACACCTGTATTGTTATACATACGATTATTAGTGAATACGTATAGTTATTATTAACATTATTAAAATCTTTCATTAAAAATGTAAAATTAAAATACCTGGTAGGTACTTGTATTCTCTGATGTGATTAAAACAAAACAAAATAGTAGATGTAATACTGAATAATATAATTTATTAATCATACAATTAGAACTACCTGTATCATAGACAAGATATTAATGTATAGATTCTATATCATTTATTCATACTAAATTAATGGTCACAGTCATTATCTTCCATCACGATTTGAATCTAAACCATTCAAATTACAAACTTCGAATGAGCCAAATCCGATTATTAAAACCCGACCAAAACCGAAATGGCATTGCGGCATTATGATTAGTGTTTAAATGATAAACCAGGCGACCTAAGTGTCCTTGGTTCGAAGCCCATGTCCCTGAACGTGTAATTTGGTTCGGTCTGCGTTCACCTAAGCGATTAGAGGATTTCTTGGTAGCTACCCATGGAATCTGCGCTGTGTCATTACAGTAGTGTAGACTCACGTATTGAGTTTGGTTACAATGAAAAATTTATTTTGATTTTATTCATTACTTAATATTTACGGAATAAGTAATCAATTTGTAGGAAATAGGTTCATTGAACTACGTGAACCTACCTATATATTTTTTTATTAGAAATAAGTCTGACAAGACTTTACAAGATTCTAGACTTTTGAAGTTATTACTTACCTATCTATAATTATCTATGGCTTTATACGCCTCTAATTGGTACGTTCATCTAGACCTAAGTTTATTTAGAACGTACACGTGTTTAAATTTTATGAATAGGTATATTGTGTTAAATAATCTAAAGAAATATATACGTATCTAAGTAGGTATATGGAGGGGGGGATTGTTAGCAATGGAGTTTGACAGTTCCATTGCTAGCAATATGCCTTATCAGGTGGACCTGACCTCCACGTGGTTCCCCTTGAAAACCATTGAACATTTCTTGTTAAATTCGTCACGATGGGCTAACTGACCTACTTCATCCTCACCTATCATCCTTCACTGGTGCCCCGCCGGTATATACCGATAGCGCGGGTGGGGCTACCATTCCATTATCACCCATTAAAAAAAAGTAGGTATATGCGTGAGGACTATGACCATTACGTCAAATAAACTACCAACTTTACCTTTACTTACTTAGCCATTTTCAATAGATAGTTCAATTTTATTTTTATTCAATCAAGGAGTCAATAGATTTTTTGATTCGATATAATCGAATCAAAAAATCTATTGACTCCTTTTATAGCTGACTAACCGCCATTTTATGGTTTAATGGATGTTTAAATACAAAATTTTTATTTAGATATTTTTAATATTGAAAAACATTTCACTCCCTTATTTTAAGCATGAAATCTAAAGATGAGTATTTTTATTTTAGGCTTAAATATATTATATGTAAACCTTATATCTATGCAGATATTTTTTTATGCAACTTAGAGTGGTAAACAAGCAACAACAATTTATTTTATAACAAAAAT